AAGGTATATATGATTCGTATATTATATGATCGAAATATAATACCTTGTCTCTACACTTTTAATATTATTATCTTCAGTGGGAACTCGTTGATACTCATGGTTCAGACCCAGCAGACTCATTAGTTGTGGCTTATAATGCTGCGCCAACAATAGATTAAAGTATTTAAAGAGGTTCGACTAACTGATTTTTATTTAAAGTTTTTAAAGTTTTTCGAGTTGATTGGAAGCTAATGTAAATGACGTAATCAGAACATTAATCAGAACATTATTTAGAACATTATTCAGAATATTATTCAGAACATTATTCAGAACATTATTCAGAACATTATTCAGAACAATACGCTAGTTATGCATAATACAAATAATAATTACCTATTTGAAGAATGCTTGTGGATGATTGTTACAGAAAATGCAGGAAAGTCTTTCTTTCAATGAATCAAAAAATCAAACAAACAAAAAAAAAAAAATCCGTAAAAGAAAAAATTTTTTTTTTCAAACTTCAGCCCTTAAAGATCGTGTGTGGGGGGTTTTATAGTGGCTCACAATTTTCACAATTGCATAGATGAACCAATCGGGACAATCGGCGGTGATATAAAAAAACTATTTAAACTAAATTGAGGTCCAATCGAGAACTGGACAAGGCCGAAGTGAGGCAGGTGGGTAAATAAATGTTAATCCTTGTATATTTAAACAATGCAAGCACACTGTCAATATTTTGTAAAAAAAAAAAAACTATAAAAATGTCGCGTCACCGATATGGAAAAAATATGCGGGAAAAAACCAATGGGAATGTGATTATAAACCATATGTGAAGAAAGAGAATTCAGGAATTCTATCATTTACCTTTTTCTCATCATAAATTTTAAAAAGTTAATGATAATTGACATATGGAGAAAACCGCAGTTTCCAAGAACAGAATAAAAGGAAAAAGGAAAGCTAATAAAAGAAAGACAAGAGAGAAATGACGTGATACGCCAAATTCCAATAAAGCCATTCAAAGGTAAAATGAAAGTTGATAAATAAAGGATTTTTGGCGCCATAAAATAAGATTCATATGTTTATCCGTATTTACAGCATGGCCTTCTGTGTAAGTATAAAATAAAGGTAAGTGGACGTTTCAATGATTAAAATGAGTAAAATGGTTAAAATGATTACAGGATTAAGGTGTCACCACTCATGTCACATTTCAATTAAATGAGCACGTGACTGGTTCCACTCATTATTCCTGTATTCAGTCATTATTCAGTCATTATTTTCAGTTATTCCATAAACAAAAAAACAAAAAAGTTTGTTTTGTTAGGTTTAGTACGTAAGTACGTAAGTATGTATACATGTTATACATGTTATCTGTTATGTATACACGTTCAATACATACGTACGTACAGTACGTACGTAGAAGTTTCGTAAGCATACTTGATACGTAACATACTTTTTAGAATATGTTGTCCCATATGAAATACATGCATCTTTCTATGTGTCACAAACACATTATTCAGTGACTATTTGTAGCTAAAATGATTTCGTAATCTTAATCATTCGCATTAATATTGTTATTTTTTTTCAGTTTTAAGAATTCATTTGACCCATTTTAACATTCCCTTATTAAATATTTTTGGCGGGCTTTTTTCCTATCATCCAATTATTAGGAAAAATTTTTACACATGTCAAATATTCTCTGCATATCGATATATATATCAATATACAGTATTTAACATATGTAGCTTCATTGATGCGTTCAAAAAATTAAGTCACGTTACGCGAGAAAATTACTTACATTCTAAGAACCACTATTAATGACAATTAAAAGCACGGCTTTATATTTCAATTTTTAATTGGCTTTTATCTCACTTTTTAAGTGACATCTGTCACTCTCGATCACCCGCGAATTGTATAATCCATCATTTAGCAATTTACTTATTTACTTATTCTGAATTTTTTATAATCTTACATCAGCAAGATTACCTCTTACGTACGTAACTTATGCACCTTAAAAGTCTTATGATACTGTATGCGATTCTATTAGTATAAATACCTTTAAGGTTTGGTCTAATAATAATCTGCAATCTTCTAAATAAAGTTAAAATTAACAATAAAGTTAAAAAATTTGTATTTCCAAAAAAAGTCAAGCTGATTTGGCGTTAAATATTTTTTTTACTATTCACGTTTAAAAAGGTAAATCTTTTTTTTTTAAGTTCGAGATCAAATCTATAAACCTTAATACGTACGTATAAATAAATGTCGATTAATTTCTTTATTAGTATGATTCATATTACGTTTATCATTGGTCAAATTTGTATTCAATATTACTTTATTACGTATTATATACTGTATTATATATCGATATATATTTCTTGTTGTATATCAATAATTATACGTATAAGAAATATTTCAGAATTGCAAAATGTCACATGTGAAGATATCCCTTACAAAAATTAATTGATCATCACAATCTATTCTTTGATATATTGTATATTGTATATCAATATCCATTTCTTTATATTCTCTTAATCAGGTTTAGCTGATCTCTCTTTTTTATTGATTTACTAGTCTGGTTAGTTCTTTTATTTATTAGATATTTAATTCACTTTTTTTAATGACTGGGTCGCTTCCGGTCACTCGCCAACATTATTCTTGATACATACGATGCGCATGTATGTATGTAATATCTAATACACGTACTGTACATATATTTTTTCCCATGCTATTGCTTTAAACTAGCAGTTATACTGGCTTTTTTTGATTTAGTTAATTTTAACTTATACTAATACAATTGATAGCAGTCTAATGATTTCCGATATATAAGTGAGTGGATAACAGAGAGGGTTTGATGTTAGAAACCTGTATAAAAATACAATAGTGAAATTTATGATTGACGTTAACGTTGACAATGAGTTTTGATATTATCTGCTATCAGTTGATATTAACGAGGGCTACTGCAATTTAAATATATATTCTATTTTGCAGCTTCGGTATATAATTTTTTATTTATAATATGGTTAGACTTATGATACGTTCTTTATTACGTTTATTCCGAAATAATAAATGCTTTAAATTTTGAATTAATGTTATAGACTAATTTTGTTAAACCAACAAATAAGACCTATTAAATATACGTATTATCACCTCTTCCATACTGAGCATCTAAAAGATTCAGAATGAATTTATATATAGGTTCTATACTGCTAATTATACTGTATAGATTCATATAGCTAGATAAACAATTATACGTAAATTCGTACTTATAATGCAACTATTGGCGTTAACACAGATATACAATAATTCTAGTCGATAAACGACATTTGAGGTTAGGAGTAATTTTCCTTCCTTATTCTTTTTTATTATTCGAACTTTATATCCGTGGATATGATTACATATAATTTCCGCATTATTCCAGATTTTTGGATTTAATTGTAAGTCTTTTCGTACCCAATCATTTCTTGCAGTAAAACAACCTGTTGTTAAATATATTGATAAGATCTTTGACGTTCTTGATGATGAAATATTAAAATCACATGCCTAACGAATAATATTTCTGGAATATTAGAGAAATTTCTTCTAATAATTAATCAACAATTCGAGGTATAAAATTATTACCATTATTATTATTATTATTTTGCTGCAGTAGTGGGCACACTTATTTTGATGCGGTCTCAAACTCGGGCCGTTAGTTACTGTATGTATCGCAACTACGTTCCACAAGGGTTACTGTATGTATCGCAACTACGTTCCACAAGGGGATGCTATTATTTTATAATCCCTTTCGTCTTCCAATAATTCTGTAATTTATGTCTGATTTACGATATCGATATATTTAAGAACTTTATTACTTATTGCTGTATTAATTAAAATCAAATGTTTAAATATTTTGGTTAAAGATAATAATGCCTACTAATTCTTTAAGTGTAATTAACGCTTTTAAATAAGAATAAAAAAAAATGCCGTGTTTAATCACGTGTATAAAGCGATTGCATGCTGTGTTGTCACTTGAAGACCACTGGAAGCCCACCAGAAGTAAAATGGATACGTGGGGTGACTGAAAAATTTTGTCTGTAGATTATTTCAATCATTTAAGTTCCAATTTTAAAACTAATATACTGTAGATGAATATAGTGGTTATAATAAATTTGCAAAAAAATTTTTGTTAGTTTTAGATATATTGAAAAAATTAGTTTAAAAAATTGCTAATTTTAGCAATGAAATTTATTAAAATAAAAATTTAAAAAAATATTATATATAATAAAAATTTTTATACAATAAAAAAAAAAAATTTATATCGAATTTAAAAAAAAAAAACTCTTTCTCGTACCTCTGTAAATCACTAAGCAAACAAAAATTTAACGAAGTATAGAGTTAGTTTATCTGTTTATCTAAGTTATATAAGTAATTATTTTAGCCAGAGCAATAGCTCTACCCAGAATATACTAGTATCTTGAGCTAAACTCTAGTCAAGATAGCAAAAAGAGTAAGAGATACACTCAACACACCAATATTCTTTTTACTGCTTTTTGCAGTAAAACATAATTTAAAATGAACCCTATAGAAAGAGTTATAAGCTCAAGCAATATTAAAACCAATACTAACAATATGGCACCACAGCCCAACCAGACACATCTATCTAAAAAAAACACTTAGTATTCAACCTCTACTAGAAGCCTTAACTGAAATAAAAATATAAACCCACTACACCAAAACACAACAATAGTATATTTCCTAAACACAACAACAACATAACAAGCTTTTTTTACATCTACAGCTACAGTTATACCTCTCTATAATCACACTTTTGGGACCATAAGAATTTTTTTAAAAAAATGTTCTTGTAAAGAGGTATGCTTATATAGAGGTCTTTTGTTATATATTAAATAGTAATTGGGCTTAAATATAGATGTAATTATAAAATGATTTTTATATAATGTGATTATATAGAAGTGATTATAAAGAGGTATGACTGTATATTTATATCAATACAGCAAAAACAATTATAGATCTAAATATACAGATCAACTACATATCTATAAAAAATTTCTATACAAATCAAACCATTTTTATAAAAAATTTCCATGCAAATCAAAATATACAAACACAAGCAATTAACAATTTTTGAAGTTGTTATACAATAAAATACTAAATAAACAATAATGTTTATCTATATAATATATAGATAGCAATAGATATTATAATATAGTTTTAGAATATGCTAATGACGAAACTTTATGAGAATATTAATAGCAAATTTTCCAAAATTACAATGAATAAATAAACTATGCATTAAGGGTATTATTCATAGAGATCTAGTAAGTACTATATTATATTTAATACTATAATAGATTTTATATTTACTAATACATACTTTAATTATTAAATTTTAATAATAAATTAGAATAGATATTTATTTAGATATTTACAAAGAGTTTTGTGCCATTTAACTGTTATTATATTTTATAGAATTACAAAAGGTAAACAAGCAATTAACAATTTTTGAAGTTGTTATATAATAATATGCTAAATGAACAATAATATTTATCTATCTAATATATAGATAGCAATGAATATTATAATATAGTTTTAGAGTATGCTGATAATGAAAATTTACAAGAATACTTAATAGTAAATTTTGCAAAATTATAGCAGACAAATAAACTTTGTATTGCTAAGGAAATAGTGCTCAAACTTTTATTTTTATACTAGTTGTAAACCCATGCAATAATGCATAGGAATAAACTTATAAAATTTTTAAATATAATTTTAAAATAAAATAAATATATAGTAAAACTTTTATAATTATTAAACTATAAATCTGTACAATATACAGAAAAGATTTAATATAAAATAAAATAAAAATTTAAATCTAAAGCAAATTAATTTAAATAATTTTATCTCTAATATAGATTATAATTTGGTTTTTTTTTTTTTTTTTTTTTAATCTTTACAGGTTTTGCCATGGCTTGCTTTTTATTAAAATATATAAGATCTATATACATTTAATTTATAGAACTCAAAGCCCAACTTCACTCAGTTACCTTATGGTCCTAAATACAACCCATTGCACTAGTTTGCAGACAAACCAGAATTATCTTATCAAAAAATCTATAAAAAAAAGAAAACGATCTATAACTAAAAAGAAGATATGAAAAGAGGAATAGGAGAAATAAATAAAATATAAAAATAAAAAAACCCAAAAAAAGAAAAAACAGAAAAAAATTTATAAAAAAAAGATAACAATTCGAGAGAAATTTTACCTCTTTATATAACCAAAATGCACTATTATAACCTGTACAAGGCTAAAAAATTATATAAAAAATGTAACAATTGTATATTTCTAGTGTAAAGCTTCGCCTTAACATATAAAGTTTTTTTGACTTATGACTGCCTTCGGATATCTCTTTAACCGGAGGTCCCGATCTAATTTCCGGAGTAGCACCGTATTTGTAAACAAACACATCATGTGGTTGTATTTTACTGAGTCTATCTAAATTTGAAAAATAAACAATGCCGATCTTTTGGAGGGGGTAAGCCAAATCTTCACTTTTTGTAAAAAATTTTGAAAAACCAACAGGAGGGTAAGAGAAAGAAAGAAGAAAGCCACCAAACCCAAAATAAAGAGTGCAGCTTTAGAAAAGAAAAAGTTTTGTTGTTTCTCTATGTTCTTCTTTGAAATAACGACCTAAGAACTTCGTTGACGAAAGTGAGCTCTTTGTCCACACTCCATCAAGATTTTTTATACAAGGGCATCTCCTGCTAGTTATCTTGTATAATAACGCTCTTGGCTTGTATGCCAAATGTCGAATTATAGAGGAGTCCTAAAACATAGCTAATGTTGACCTCTAGACAAACCATAACATAGGCCATAACTCTCCAACAAAAATTTTTTGTTTTTCTATTAGTGGGAAAATTTGGTTTTAGTAATCATCGGAAAGAGTTTGTATAATTTGGTTTTGCTTAATTTTAATTTAATTTATTAAAACTAAAAATTTATTGTTTTTTAAATATTTTAGAATCTAGTAATTAGAATTAAATAAACTCTTTTTTATTGAATGTACCTCACTGAGAGCTTTTATTTTAAAAAAAATTCATCTAGATTGGACTGCTAGTTGTCAAAATAATTACAAAAAACTACTTTTTATATATTTTGATCCTAAAGTAGGTTACATTAAACCCAAAGTAGGTCCAATTATAGTTTCTTTAAGTTTATGCGAGAAGTTATTAAGTAAAGTTATCTTCAAGTTTTAAGTAAAGTTGTAGAGGAAATAATTCTGAGTTAAATAGTGGTTAGATTATCAAAATAGGGCCAGTCAAACATAAAGATTAACAAAATCAATATTTTGTATAATAGTGATTTTGCTGATCCTTATGTTTATGCCTTTAACCCAAGATATCTCAAGAACTACTGGGCTGATTTTGATGATCTAACCACTATTTGACTCAGAATTATTTCCTCTACAACTTTACGAAGATATCTTTACTTAATAACTTCTTGTATAATTTTAAAGAATTTATTAACAAATCAGAATAACAAATTTAATGTTACACAATTTAAGTAAATTATTTATATTAGTAATCTAAACTTATCATTACACACACATTTTTTTAGTATATAGTTATAGATATACTTTTTCAATTTCTATAAACCCTTATTATTTTGCTAACATTATAGCTACTTTAATATTATACAATTTTCTACTCAACAATCTTTTCAATTTTTTCTGAATATTATTAATCTTATCTTCCACAAACTATAAAATATATTTCAAAAAAACTTCTAATCTCAACAATCAATACAGATCTTTTTTTACCAATTTTTCAAATATCTAAAATTCCTGATTCACTCTTTTTTTTATTTTAAACTTTATATATCAAACTTTTAAATATATAATATTCATTTCACAAATACTTAAATCATTTTTTTATTACTTTTTAAAACATTCTGATTTATTTTTATTTTTATTTTTATTTTTTTTTTTCAACTCTACAAAATATCAATTAATACTATTATACTCAAAACATATATATTTTGGTATATATAAATAAACCCTTCCTGGCTACCTTATACTTGCTCCTAATCAATATTCTATTTACTTCTCTTTATCAATTAAATTAATATTATTTATTTGAAAATAATTTATATATAAGTATAATACACTCTTTTGTTTCAATTAATAACTTTAACCTTATATCAAATTTTATTAAATTTTAATCAACAAACTAATTTAATACAAACAAAACAAACAAATTAACTTCTTTTTTATTCTACCTTATAACTATTATCACTTATATCTTTATAACTACTATCTTCAAAACCAACCATATAACTCTTCTTAAAATAATACTTTCATAATAACTCTATCTTTTGTATCAACTTTACTTTTTGCTCATACAACTTATTATACTCTATATCTTTTTTCAAATTCTTTGTTACTTGACTTAACTCCTTCTCTTTCAGTTAAATTTCTAACATTTTAAGTCTTTCTTTCAAAATTATATTTTTGTTTCAAAGACTAGATATTTAAATATTTTTATTAG